GGGGCTGGCTGGCATGTGGTGCTGGAGGATTGAACCGCGGTCCCTGTGCTTTGCCAAGCTTGTTCCAAGTAGGTGCTTTAGACCACTGAGCCATCTCTTCAGCCCCCCCCCCCCTTTTTTTTTTAAATAAGGTTTTCTATTGATCTGTATGTAGGGCCTAGTACAATAGCATCAACGGAGTGGTACTTTATTAGTAGTATAAACAAATGAAATATACAGCACTCTCTGATTCTTGGCAATGGCTATCTGCATAAACTTGGGAGTTCTTCCCCATTGCTTGACAGAAAAAGAAAAGAGAAAAAAAAAAGTCACAGTTGTATCTCTAGGAGAAGTAGTCTTAACTGCAAAAAGTTGATTTATCTGTTCAATGTTTTATGCATTTGGAGCTTCTCCAGCTCTTGGAACAAATCTGACATTGCAATACGTGCTCTAGCTGGAAAGGTATTTTTGTAGGTCAATGGAAGCACACTTTTATATTGTTTTTCCAAAGCCACTACCTCTCTAAACCAGTTATGTAAGTGCACAGGAATCAAAATGCATTCTGGGGTGGGGTGTTTTCTGAGCCACAATTCTATGTGCTTCAAATTCCACAGGCAAGTTTTTTTAAAGAAATGTCCAAGAGTATTAATGCTTATGCTATGTTCAATGTTCTACCCAGCCTCATTCTATTTTATTAGCTTTTACAGGAGCCTACTGGCAGCTGCTCAACAGAAAGGACTGGCTTGTAATTAGTTTTTATTTTAAGGGGTGTAGGGGCATACACTATAGAAGAATTGTGCCTCATATCCCAGTTACAGCCTCTTTCTCAACATTTTTCTTTTATTAATGCATAAAAAAGTTACAAACTTGCCTTGTGAGGTCGAAAATATAGATACAGGCTGAGAGGAAGAGGAAGAAACAAAGGAATCTGAAAGAAAATAACAGCATGAGAATTTCATAACCTCTTGCAGGAATTATTCAACCTTTATTAGATAAACATAATCAAGGAACCCCTAGCATTTCAGACCAACCAGAACAGATAACACTCCTCTGCTGTTTTTCATAGGAATGGAACAGAAGTTATCAGATTACTAATTTATATTATTTTTAAATCAAGTCCAATTATACTTTGAGGCATTACCCACTAATATGAGCATTTAAAAATATCTAATTGGCAAATATGCAATGTTGACCCTCAAGACTATTATAAAAAAAAAATCACAATCCATTGGGAAAATAGGACTACATGAGAAATTTTCCATCTTCTAAAATTATATTCCAGAGACTGGGCATGGTGATGCATGCCTGTAATCCCAGCTCTTAGGAGGCTGAACATAGGCAGTTCACTATATAGTGAGACCCTCTAGTAAAATAAATAAATAAAGCTACATTACTTTTAAACATATATTTAAATTCAAAATGCTCATGTCCAGGAAAAAATGCTCAGCAGTACAGCACCTTGCAGGTTTGGTTCCCACTGTTGCAAAAACACTAACCTTTTACTGGAAATAAAAATACAAAGACCATGCCCCTCCCCCACGAGACTATTCTTAAAAGCACTGGTTATATATACCATAAATGATCACAAAATAATTTAATTGGTCATAATTAGTCTTTGCATTTCTTTTCTTTTTTTTTGGTGGAACCGGGGATTGAACTCAGGCCCTTGAGCTTGCCAGGGAAGCACTTATTCCACTGAGCCATCTCCCTGGCCCATAATTAGCCCAAAAGTCACATGTAAACAGTGAAATAAACTGGCATGGTGGCACATGAACTCAGGACGCTGAGGTCAGAGTGTTGCTGTGAGTTCTAGGACAGTCTATACTACAAAGTGAGACCCTGTTTCAAAAATAGACAAAGGGCTGGGGAGATAGTGCAATAGAATAAGCGCTTGCCTGGCAAGTGCAAGGTCCTGAGTTCAATCCCCAGCACTGAAGAAAAAAAAAGAAAAAAAAAAAAAAAAACCAAAACAGACAAAAACAAAAGCAGTGAAATATGTGCTACCATGAAAAAGAACTAGGCACAAAGCTGGGCATGTTGGTGCACACCTAAGTCTCAGCTAGTTAAGGCAGGAGAATGGCTTGAGTTCTTGAGTTTAAGACCAGCCGGAGCAATATAACTAAGAGCTTATCTCAAAGAATGACAGTTGGGTGTGATGACACAGGGCTGTAACACCGGCATTTTGGGAGGGTGAGGCAGGAGCGTTATAAGTCTGAGACCGGAGCGTTATAAGTCTGAGACCGGCCTGGGCAATTTTGGGAGACCCTATCTCAAAATAAAAAAGGCTAGGTATGCAGCTCAGTGCAAAGGGTCTGTATATAAAAACTTAAAAACAGTATGAAAAATTGCATTGAGTGTGTTCTCGTGTATTCAATGGCAACAAAAGGGACAAACAAAAGGATTATGAACCTTGAAGGAGGGGATTTACCTTTTCCTTTTCCCCAGCGCTGGAAATTAAATTCGGGGCCTTGGTACTGAGCTATATCTCAAATTCTTATTTATTCTGAGACAGTGTCTTGCAAGAACCATTAAACTGCCCCAGATGGGTTTGAATTTGGAATCCTCCTGTCTTAGCCTTCCTTGTGGCTAGTTCAATAAAATCTTTGCTCATTAAAAAATATCCTTCCAAACTGGCATGATGACGTTTACCTATAATCCTAGCTACTCTACCAGTTGAGGCAGGACAACCTTAAACTCAAGGCCAGCCTGGGCAATAGCAAGACCCTATCTCAAAAAGATGGCTCAGTAGAATAAGCACCTCCCTGGCAAGCACAAGGGCCTGAGTTCAATCCCAGGTTCCACACACACACAACAAAAAAAACTTGCCAAGCAAGGGGTGTCCTGGCTCAGCCATGCATGAGGCCCCTTCCTCCACTGCCCTGCCCTACCACCCCACCTGCTCCACACGGCCTACAGCAGCTGCTACTGTGAAGAAAATATTTGGAAGTTCTGTGAATACATAAAAAACCACAACCAGTATCCTTTAGAAGAATGTTATGCTGTCTTTATATCAAATGAGAAGATGGTGCCTATCAAGAAGCAGCAGGCCAGACCTGGAAACGAGCCCATGATCTGGGATTACCATGCGGTTTTGCATCACATTTCAAGTGAAGGACAGAGCTTCATTTATGATCTTGATACTGCATTACCATTTCCCTGGCCCTCTGACATATAGGTAGAAGATACCTTTAAGTCTGATGATGACCTTCATCCAAATTTAGGAGAAAATTCAAACTGATCCCTGCTGATTGCTATTTGAAGAACTTTGCTTCTGACCAGTCTCACAAGAAAGACTCCAGTGGGAACTGAAAGGAGCCCCCCCCATATCTACATTGTAATTGGAGACTCCAAAATGAGCCTGAATGACCGTATCAGTATGGATTCTGAAGTTGGGCAGGGAGCTATCTATACACTACCTGAATTTGCGCATTGGTTTAGCAGTAAAAGCTACTGAACTGGACATCCGGATGTGAAACTGTGGTAAATTTCAAAACATGAACAAGCCATCCTGTCATTTAGGATAGCAAGTATGGTACAATTGGCTTGGAGTTACGTTCTTCTCTTTTAATTCAGTGAAGGAGAAACATGGATGGGCACAAATACAAATGAATAAATAAACCTTTTGGGGGGAGCCGGGGTTGAATGCATGCTGAGCATGTGTGAGGCCCTGGATTCCATCCCAGAACCACAAATAAAAGAAGACCTTTCCTTTGGTGTGTCAAGTGGAAACTTGCCAATGCATACAATTGCTACCATATGGCTCTTACGTTAAAACATGTGACAGCTGGTGCCAGTCATTGCTGTGTCCAGACAGAAGTATCTTTTCTGCATGTTTCCTGTTTCTCTTATCTCACTGCAACCCCTTTGTGGGCAAGGCTCTGGCTCACAGATATGTGAGCCTCGGATGTGCCCATAAAAGATGCCCATACAATATTTCTAGAGACAGTACTGCTGCTTGGGAAAGGATTATATTGTGAGCTGAATCTGCAATCAGTATTAGTCTTTTTGGACTACAATGTTGTTAATGACTGTGTTTCTCTCAAGCTGAGTGATATTTGGCCTACTTGTAAGTGATTTTTTAAAAATAGATTTAAATTTTATTGTGTTGAAGGTTTTATGTCATTCTTCATGATCCTAAGAGTGTCCAAGTCATGTATGAGAACTGTCTATGTGCTTTTTATCATTATTTTTATTTTTTAAAGAATACAAAATAGTAATTTAAAAAAAAAGTCAGCATTAGAAAGGACAGAAAACAAAGTAATAGGAATTCAACAATGGTTGCTCTATTGTATGCTATTATCTTTATTTTTTATTATTATTTTTTTAAATTTTATTTATTTATGTGTGTGTGGACAGCTCAGCCCACCAGGGGGCGGGGCTGGCTGGCATGTGGTGCTG